AAACCAGAAGGTCTGGCACCCTATCCCCAGGGTTATTTATAATCATAATCACCCTCAGTGCTAGGGGACTGTTGCTCCCTGTACGTTGCTCCCAGGGGGGATGACTGGAGCAACCTCTCTTAGCTCTACCTACAGGGGGTTTGCCCAGTTTTGGAGTGAGGAGAGTGGCCGATGGTGAGGAGGTGTTTCACTGTGCCACACAGCTCACCGGTAGCAGCAGGGACCGGCAACTCACCGGCATTCATGCTGCTCAGCAGAAAGGCCCCAACGCTTACTCGTGCTGGTGTTGATAGGTCCTGACTCCGACCTGCAAGAGGTATTTAATGCTGCTCACAAGCCTGTGGGAATGGCACGTTTCACTCAGCCCTGTGGTTACTTCGGGTATTTGCTCCTTTCAAGTCAAAGCCATTTGAGAGCCCAGGGCTGCAGAGGTATTTTGTGGAGCCACCCGTGACCCGAACTGCGGAGCAGGGCCCTGGCTGGCCTCCCCCCACAGCTAACATCTCCCAACCACAGCAGACCTGGAGCTTAACCAGGGATGAGTCGGCTTCACCACTGCTGTCATCTCTGTTGCTTCAGGGCTGAGTCTCACCCGGTTTGACCCTGAGGAGCATGTCAGGCTCATCTCTCCAGGCCTCTCGGCTCGGTGCCGCTCCTGCCGTAGCATTACTGGCAAGTGAGGATGGGTCAGAGCTGCTCCCACACCATGAACCCCACCCCAACCCTGGTCCACAGAGGAGACATGAGTGTTATCCCAGGGTCACAGCCCTGCAGCCAGCTCAGCCCTCACCCTACAAGCCAAGCACGCAAGTTCAGTGGCCACCAGCTTTTCCCCAACACTGAATTTTTCATTTCCCCCCCCATGACACAGGTGTGGAGCTTACCACCACCTGCACAAGGCTTTGCATGGGATGGTGCCCGTTTTCCCTTTCCCTTTCCCGCTCCCCAGGCCCTGCAGCCAAGCGGGACGGGGGGGTGGGCAGCTGGCCCCGGTGCCTGCCCACGTTCAGGCCGGGGGGAGCAGAAAGCCCTCCCCGGAGAGCCCTCCCCTCCTGCGCCCAGGGCACCCCGTCTCTGTGGCCGCCCTTCGCTGGGGGGAGACCTGTCTCCATGCTCGGCGTGGGGACAGCCAGCGGCGTCTCGCCCACGCAGGCCGCGCTCGGCCAAAGGCAGGAGCTATTTCTGGAGAGCAGCTTCTCCCAGAGCAGCAGCAGCAGCAGAACCGGGGTGCACCGACCGCAAAAAATATAAAGTGCAAAGCCCTGGTGTTTCGAAAGCAAAGGGAGGTTCCCCAGCCTCCCCAGCTGGGGAGGACGGGTGACATCCTTGCAAAAATCAGAGAGGACGGCAGCCCCTGCGAGGGGAGGCCCCCGGACGAGCGCAAAAGGCTATTTCAATGAAACTGTAAACATAACGGATCTGCTGGTGCTGCAGAGCCCCGTGAAATCGGTGATTTCTGAGCAGGAGTTCAGCTGGAGAGCGCTGGTGCTATAAAAAGCAAAGTCACTTTGGGCTTTGACGCTTCCTCCTGACACACAAAAAGGTGATTTGTGATTCAAAAGATGAGGAATTTGTCATCAAAAGGAGCTGGGACAGAGCTCGGTGTTTACACATGGAAGAACAAGACAGGCACCGAGCGCAGATATATTTATACCCATCCATTAGTAAAAGAAGCCAAGTCAACCATACCTCTGTGCTAAAGTTAGAGCCCAGCACTCAGCATCTCCTTAAAAAGGCAAGAAAGTTTCCGCAAACTGGGACAGCTGCTCCCGGGGCCGGCTCTGCTCATCCCTGGCACGGGCAGGAGCTCCCGGCATCGGCACCCTGCAGCGGGACAGGAGCCAAACGCAGCAAGGCTTCTCCAGCCAGAAGGCTGGCTCCCAGAGGCTGGTCACGGGCTGGTGGCCACAGCACCTTGGGAGCCAAACATTCCCTGCTCCACCTTTGGAGACCTGCAGAAGACAATTGCCTCTTCTCAGAAGCAAAAACCCTCCAGTTTTAATTCCGGTACCCTCTTTGCTTCCCTGGTCATAGGGCTCCCACCAGGAGCCTTGACCTCTGCTGCAGGAGAAGAGATGAGGACACGCTGGACGCAGCACCCTCAGGCTGGCCCTGTGGAGGAGGGCTTGGTCTCCATCAGCTGGCAGAGGGAAGAGGAGCAGCACCCAAAGGTTAGAGGTTTGTGCTGCTGCCGAAGGGTCAGGGCGAGCTCAGGATGAACAGGGAGCAGCCAGGACAGTAGATGGTCCACCCCCAATGAGCATAGCAATAGAGTTGGCCAGCACAAGTCAACGGAAACTCCTGAGTTAGGGTTTGGTGTTCAGAAATGCTTCGGAAATAACTAATTGCAGCAAGTCCCTCCACCCACAGGAAAGGCTGGAGTTGTCTGGCTTCACCTCCCCAGTGCTGGGACACGTTCCAATGCTGCCAGGTAGGAAAGCCCTAGAAAAGTCAGATCTTTATCCCTTGCAAGGTGCTTCTAGAAAGCAATTAATTGTCCTCCTCCTCGACAAATAAACAGATGAGCTCCTGCAGTCGTTTCCCCTCTCTCCCAGCTCCAGCTCTCAAACCATGCTGGAATCTCTTCCCTAAACCGCTCCCAGCTCATCCGGAGCTGCAGGAGCCAGCACAGGGCAAGCTTTGCCAGAAATGATCACACTTCAGGCAAACCGAGAGCAACCACAGAAAACATATTTTGTCCGAATCAAAGTGAAGTGCAAAGTTGCATTTTTTCTTTTCCACACCCCAGTGAAACAGCCAAAAGTGAGGATCAACCCCAGCCCACGCAGAGGAAACAGGGCTGCAGGCACAGGAGGCCGCAGGTCACCTCTCACCTCCCAGGACCTTGTGAAGTTGTTGGCATTCCAGAAGGCGTTTCACCTCCAAGCTCATGCTGAAGACGCTCCAGTTGGATGAACTTGACTGACCTTTGAGCAAGTTATGGGACTAGATGACCTCCACATGTCTCTTCCAACCCAAATTATTCTAGGACTTTGTGATTTTTGTACAAAGACAGAAAGGAAGCACACAAATAACCCTCCCTCCCACACCAGCTGCTAAGCTCTCCTATCAGAGGGCTGCTCAATGCCAAATAACTAAACCAGTAGAGCCAATACAGGTCAGCCCCGCCACTGGCACAGGGATCAGAGCTTCTTCCTAGGCTTTTGGGCTCAAATTCTTGATGCAGCTCATCAGTGCCAGGCACAGACACAGCCTTCGCAGTCACATTAGCCTCACCCCTGACTTCTTCTGTTAATTCAGTTTGAATTCAGAAATTATTTCAACATGATCCAAACAACACTTTCCAGCAAATGCTGTGATTTACTGACCAGGTCCCCACCGCGCAGCTGCCAAGCACGGCCGTGTGGCACGGGGACTCGTGCTCAGCGACCACGTTGGTGGACCTCATGCTGCCACCAAGCCCACATCCAGGGTGTTACCAAACCCTCTTCTGAGCTACTTCCCGATGTGACAGTGGCACCCTTTGCCCCCAGTGGATGCTGCCTGCACACGCTGCGATGTGCAGTGGCTTGCAATGAGCTACGCCTAACTAATACAATTAGTCTATTATTTATTATAATTATTCACAGCTTATAGAATGTATTAAATCGTGAGCATTCATTTCCTTGGCCAACTTGCAGTCAAAGAACCCGTATTGGCTTCCTTGGACGAGCTCTACTTCTGATAACCCTCGGTTGAGCAACGCAATAATATCACAACACTTTTAATGACTTATTAGGGAATTCCAGGATGGGCCATTTTATGGCTTGGCCTTGAAACGAAGGTAGGCTGGAAGACCTAGAGCACCTCTGCTGCACTTTTGAAGCGTGCCTCTGTATCGCCCTTCCTCCCAGCACAACAGAGCTTCATTTCAAGAGCTCTCCTGGTCTCCCCGATGCAGAATCCCTTGGAACCAGCTCTTCCACAACAATTATTCTCATTCAGCCCTGATTTCCAGGCATCTAATTTTAGCAGTTACTGTTGAACATCCTCTTTTGAGTTATTGTTAGAACGAAATGAGGATCATCTGACAGGAACACACTGCAGCTCCTCGGTAAATACCAGGAAGGAATGCTGAAGGAGCTTGCGCCCCTTCCAGCATCATCCCACCAACGGGGGACACACCTTATCCCACCCCTTTTTGTTCCCGGTACCTTGCATTTCCAAAAGTAATATGAAAATTCTGCACCCGCCTCGACTGTACTCGGCATATTTCGCTGTATCATTTCGCTCAGTTATCAGTTTCCATAATTACTTGCAAATTTGCCACTGGGGTTTTATTATTTGTTATTTTTAGGATCGTTTCAGCGGAAAAGGCATCTGATTATATGGATGTATATTTGCATGACAACTTTCACTTGAGGACCTCTAAGCACCTCGTAGAATACGAATGAATTTCTGCTTGTCTGCAGCGACAGTCCTTTTACAGGCAGGACAACAGGAGCAGTGATTAAAAGACATGTCCAAACTCCCAGAGGAAATTTACGCTGAGCACAGGAACAGCGGCTTCCAGTTGTGTGCGTTAACTATTAAACCTGTGCTAACACAGCCAGCGGGAGGTTGGCTACACAGGCATTAAAGAAAATGCTGATACCGTCATTTGAAATGGCTGTCTCTCCTTCCACACTAACAGGTTCAAACACAGATTAGGCTTGGAAGCTGAAAAAAAAATAAATAATAGAAAGGAAAAAAAAAAGTAAAGGCTCTCTATCAAATACACAACAAGTAGCCCTTTTTCTGCTAAATAAGCAGTGAAGGGCAACGATGGCAGGGAAAGGAGAGGGGTTATGGAGAGCTCGATGCACGAACTGGGATTGTGCTGGGATTTTGCCAGCGTGACTTGCCAAGGCTTCACTCTTTATCGCTGCCGAGACGATCCCATCTCCCGCTTCATCCTTCAAACCAGCTTCCCCTGCTTTGTGTTTTACCTGCCAGGGAGATGCACCAGCGAAACTCATCCAGATGCACTGAAAAACAGACAACACACGGGAGCCAGCAGACTGGTGTTTCTCTCTTTTTATTTAAAAACAGTGCTTCATTACCATTTGCAAAGGGTTAGGAAGGGTTTCCCCCCTTGCTTAGAGTTTATAAAAGCCAGCAACATGATCAATAATTTATACACATGGATAGTAATACAAAAAAAAGGAATAAAAGCTAAAGATCTAACTACTCCGACCTTCACAATTCCAGCTACTTGATAATAATAGGAATAACCCAATGAATACTGTATGGTCTGAAAGCTACTATACAATATGATACTTAACGAGGGAGGGCGGGAAGTTAGAGGCTGTCACAAAGCCCTGGGATGCAGATACTGCTTCTCCAGAGTCAGCAGGGAAATGGGACCCTGGGCAAGCGGCTCGGGCGTCCTAGGAAATGATCCAGGGGAAGGGAACGCGCCCCACTGGGAACACGTCCCCTTCCCCGGCGGTACCTGGCAATGGGAGGTGCTGGGGAGACGGCGTGAAGGGGCAAGTCCGTCGCTGCCATTGGAGGTGCTGGGGCATCTCAGCCTCGCACTGAAAAAGCTCCAAGTCTCAAGTAGATCAGCCTGTGAGGTCAGTAAAATACTCCACCAGCTCCATTATCGCTCTATAGCCCTGGTTCTCATTCGCTATCAGCCCCAGGTTTTAGCTCCAGCTATTTACAAGCAGGATTTATCATATAAAAAAAAAAAAAAAAAAAAAGGAAAAAAAACCCAAAACCAAATCATATCCCCTGGGGTAAAAGAGGATTATTTCGTCACTTGATAATGCAGCCAAATCAAGCTGCCAAAACTACAACACGCGCGCACACACAAAATACTGTGAACAGAAAAAAAATTAGAAAAACATGACCAAAACTGAGACTACTTATGTGGGAGGCCTGATTTCTGTAATGAATTCACTCCTCGGGGAAGCAACAAGCCCCTCCACCAGCAGAGAACTGGGAATCTGGCAAGAGATTTATTGACCCACTTCGGAACAACAACAAAAAAATATATATAAAAAAAAAGAAAAACCATTCCTAAGATTAACTGGCATTTTGCTGACTGCCAGCTAAACGAATATTCAGGTGGACGGCTTTAGACACCAGCAATCTCCTGGTGAAATCAGGCAAGGTTTTTGGCTGATGCATTTTTTGCTCTGCCACGAGTGGAGAGGCAGCGCAGGCAGCTTGTCCCCTGCACAAGCCCAGGGCCGGCTGAAAACTGCCACCCAGAGAGGACAACCGCTGGCAGTCCTTTCCACCACTGGCAAGCAGTTGCCTTCTTGGGCTAGCAGTGGCAACAGAGATGGGACATGGACATCCCACGTCCCACTGAGGCTGCCATGGATGCCCGCGCTGCAGAGAGACAGGGTCCATCCTGCCAACTCCTGGCTAGAGCAAAGCGTACCGGGGAGAAACCCCAGAGCCTACTTGAAAAGGGCCCCATTTCACACTCTGGCTATCAGACTCCTGCTGGCCTTGTTGACTGGAGTTTTCACTGTAGAAGTTTACTGGGGTTGGAGGGTGGAGAGGGCAATCAGTAAGGTGGGGGGTGGAGGGAAGGGGCTTTTCAGACATTAACATCACCAAAAATAGTGTTTTATGCAACAAAGAATCAAGTCTCACTGGTGTATACTACAAAATGTTTGACATTTTCCAAGAGCATGACAAAATAAAAACACGAAGATTACATTGGATGCTCATCTTGTTCACTAGGTTGTTTGTTGTTGGTTGTTTGTTTTTTTTTACCCCCCCTCCTATATTAAAACAGTGCAAACAGGTAACATACTCTAAAAATCACCCCTCTGCACCAGGGACAGCATCCCCCATGACCCTGCCAGGCTGGAGGGTGACAGGCTGCCTGCCACGCTGCCCGCACGCTTTCCCTTTGGAGCTAGACTCAGCAAAAGCTCTCCCCAGAGCTGTTGTTTGGTTTTCCCTTTATTGAATTCCTAAGTGCTCCCCCAAACCTGTTCTCCACTTGCCTCCTTCTTTGGGGCGGGGATGGGAAGCTACGGACAGGGACGGTTTGGGGAAAAACACGGGTAGGAACGGTGAGGGTCTGCTTTGTATTCCCCACGGCCGAAGCTCCGGGTGCTGGAATGGAAACCCCAGCAGCCAGAGCCCCTCTTCAGGCAAGGAAATGGTTTCAATTAACCGTTTTCACAACTGGCCCTGGAGCCAGCTGTTCACTTAACCCTCCTCAGCTCTCACTGTGCACTTCACATCCACAGATCTCAAGATGGGCGAGGCGAGGGGATAAACTTCCACTTCACTTTAGGGACGGGGAAGCGAGTTCTAGAGCAGCGACACGACTGCTCCATGATGACCCTCTGAGGATCACAGAGCCCTGACCAAAACACAGGTCTCCGACTCCTGAGCTAGCACTCTCTCTCGGGCACCGAAACAGCCAAGCCACAGCTAATTTAAAAACATGGCTTTGTCTATCTGAACTCATGACACAGGATCCACGTGACCGCTTAATAACCTGGGAAGAGCTGGCTATCGCAGGCTCATGCTGACCTCCCCGTTGTCTCCAGGTCCCATCATGGCTTTTCCTAGAAGAGCCAACCCACCCGCAGCACTGCAGCCTCCCTGGCACCGGGGCAGCGACAATAGTTTGTTAACGTGCTGGGCACCAATACAGCATATTCTCTACTGGCAATAAGTTATACCAGTAGAAGTCATCTTTGTACCAGCACGACGGTACCCACAAGGAAAGATACATCAGCACATTAAATAAATCAACTCTTCGATCCAAAATTTTACCAGTATAATATCATGTGCTGGCCAGACCTATTGCAAGACAGTACAAACAGCAACACTTAAAGAAACGTCTTTTCCTCTACATTCAAGAGGAATCCCAGATGCCACCAGACGAGGTGGTGACAAACAGCAAGCTATTTGCCAGGCTGCCTGTGCGGTTTCCCTTGGAAAGCCAAACCCCGCTTTGCGAGGGACCTGTGACTGCAGACCCATCTCGGGGACAAGCACTAGCTGCCGTCAGTCAAATAAGCCAGGGCCCAGTTTAATTCATTAAGTGTAATTCATTTTGCATAGGGAGAGATATAGGCTTTGTCCTCACTTCTTCAGAAGATGGATATAGCCACGGCTTGGCTACTCTGAACACATCTCAAGCCAGTTCATAACACATCTGAGTGAAACCAGAGCTGTTGTTCACCGAGAGGCAAGGAAAGGCTGAAGAGCTCTCCCTCCCTGCCATGGCACAACACTCACTTGAGAAACCTCGCTGCAAAATTCCAGCTGGTGTGCAAGTTTTTGGGAGGTCTGGTGCTCCGGAGACCTGGAACCAGCGAGCTACCTCCGGCCTCCAGCCGTGCCAGCATCACGGCATCCCCTCTGCAGCCCACGGCTGAGGGCAAGGAGCTGGGCTACTGTGAGCTGCCCCAGCAGGGATCTTGCAGCATTAACTACGGAGCCGAGGAGACACCGGGTGGTTAATGCCCTGGAGGAGCCTGGCAGGGAACGACTGGAGCAGGCTGGGCTCGGATACAAGAGGAATCAGGCTGGATGGTCTAGAGCAGGTATGACTTGGAGATCACGCTGCAGGGGACCACAGGACCCCGCAAAGGTTGGGCGCTTCTGCACTAAACCCCTCAACTCCTAATAGACTCGGGCGGGCTGAAGCTGCCATGCATAGACTCTGCTCGGAGGCAGACACGGGGCTGGCCTCCCCACTCCCAGAGAGGCCAAATGGCAGGGTGGGGGGGAAAGGGGGGTAGGGATTGCAGGCGACATTGCCAGGGCAGGGGAGGGCACTCGGGGAGGGAGAGCCCAGCTTTTGGGGAGCTGCAGTCAGAACCAGCTGAACTGAAAGGTAGGGACGGGGCAGAGGGGCGAGCAGCTCCTCTCACTCACAGACCTGCTCCATGAGGAACCGCCTGCGGGCGAGGGAAGGGATGGCCTCACTCAGCCCCTCCGCCCCACAGGTGAGGAGAACAAGTCCAGTAGAGGCTTTTGCTGCATCTCAGCTCCACAAGTCCCCTGGCTGCCCCGTGGCGGAAATGCCTCCCCTTGAGTTATGACTATTTCTACCACAAGTCCTCCCTCCCCTCTCCCAACTCGGTAAAAGCCCCCAAGCACCCCGAGTCCCCCTCATTTCCTAGATTTTATGAAAGCCCCGACACCCTGTTCCCCCCTCCCCATTTTCAAGCTAATTAAAATATTTATATACAAACAACAAAAAAATTGTCATAACAGCAACAAACCAAACTTTGGCTTGAAAAAAAAAAGTTAAAAACCAACAATAAAACCAGAAAAAAAATAATAATAAAAGGTGGCCAACAGGCTGGCAGTTTGGTGTCCCCTTTATCTAGCTATTCCTCCAGAGAATCAATAGCTTCAGGGTCTCTAGCTTAACTAATGGCTTCCCCATTCCTCCCATTTGAGGTGCCACCTCTCTGCTGCACACAGAGAGGCTACAAATGTCGCTGGGGAAGAGCAAAAAAAATATGCGTGGTTACCTGTGGCTGGGCCACACCACCTCCCTGGGAGCTCTGCTGGTTGACATCGCTTAGTGTTAAACGCAGGAGGTTTCCTATTCTGCTGTCAGCGGTGGATGGAGAAGCAGGTGTACGACAGGAGTTGGACAGGCTCCACCAACAAACCCAGGCTCCCAGCAGCCCTTCTGGGGGCAGTGAGCTCACCCCAGTACCAACTGAGGGAGTCGAGGCAGCCTAACACAACCCTGCTTCTGCACTTGGCTCACACGTGGTAAAAGACCCTGCCTCTGAGCACTGGGGTTACTGGGAGCGCTCGAGGAGCCACCAGCTGAGCGGGGACATCACAGCACAGCTCACGCAGCCATCTAAAAACGCTGACTGTGAAACACAGCGAAATCACTGTATGTGACAGCATAAGGGAGTCTTGGGAGTCGTGGAGCCCTCCCCTAAATCGTCCCTCTGCTTCCAAATCGCTTAATATGTAGTGTCTATATGGACTCAGCAGACCAGGTGCACAACTTTCTATGAGAGGCTGGGCAAAACAGACCCAGGGGCTCCAACACAACTATGTAAGGGCCTGAAATAGCTTGTGGTGGGAAGTTCCTATGAACTCAGAGCTTGCACAAACTCCTTTTTCCTTCCCTTAAACTCCCGAATGAAACAAAACTACTTCAGGATCACGTTTAGGTATAAAAGACCCTCTTCCCCTACACAAACCCACACGCTTGCCCTTGCCTCAGCAGCTTATACATGACTCGTTTTTCCTCACTCAGGTTATTTGAAAGAGATTACTTGCAGAAGTGCCTAAGCAGCTCAGGATGAACACGAGAGACCTTGCACGGTGGATCTCTGAGTGCCCAAGCACTGCATGACTTTTTGGCCAGCTTGCTTTTGCTGCAAGTTCCACCACTAGCTGTCCGCAACAGAGGTACTCTGTGTGATCTGCCACTCCTCGAAGAAAGAAAGAGGAGGAAAAGGACAGCAAGGGAGAAAGATCTTGAAAAGGAGGAAAGAAAACTAAGATAATTACAGCCAACAGTCAGCTAGAATAAGTTGTGTGGGGTGGGGAAAGACCGTCCTCATCAAAAAAAAACTCCATTCAAAGTCTTGTCCCCTGTACAGCACGTTAACAGCCAAAGTCTTTGGGCAGGTTGAGGAAATCTTCTCTTGTCAAGTCTAAAATCCTGACACTGCTGAAACTGTCCCAAATCTGTGCGCGTCAGATGGTGATAGAAACGAGGAAAGTCTCTGCTTTTCCCCCCAATTTCAAATGTAAATGACTATTTCCCACCAGCATTAAGGTCCCAGCCACAGCCAAAGAGTCCTTCCTTCCGTAGACCAGAAACATGGCAGGTGGAGACTTCTCCCTCGCATCCTCCTGTCTCACAGACACCAAGCACCAGACCCAGGGAAGTAACTGTCTGCGTGTTCCTGATTGATCACACGGTATCGGTTTCTAACAGCTTTCCTTATCGCTAATCGCCTTTTCCGTGATTGGTAGGATAAGCTATGCACCAACATACAGACACGGAAATGCATTATTTTTACCACAGTTAAAAAAACCCCAAAAACGAAAACAAAAAACAAAAAAATGCACAATCTTTGGAACAAAAGAATTAAAGGCAGAAATTTAAAGGAAAAAAAAATACATATTCAAAGAACATAGTGAGGTATAAAAAAGTATTTTCTCTTTTGTTTTTTGTTTTTCCTCCTCGTCTTGCTATAGAGTTCCTCTACTAGTAAATATTGCAATAGCCAGGCCTCATGAACTGGGGGGGCTGTCCCACTTGCAGGGGGCTCACGTCACTTCAGTAGGGGGCAAATCGGCTGTAGCCACCTCGGTATAAACTCGCCTGTAGAAATTAAATGAGAGAAGAAGAGGTTGTTAGGAGGTCAACTGTGAAGAAACGCTTGCGACAGCACCCGAATCCTCTCAGAAGCACTAATGGATATGTCCTGGGACCGACCCACCACCTCTAAGAAGCAAGAGAGGAGAACCTTGCCTGCAAAACCAAAGACATGGCTCAGGAGAACATGCTCACGGCCAGCCAGCTGCAGGTGAAGTTTGGCAAGTCTCAGCTGAAGGGAGTTCAGTACCAGAGATGGGACTCATTAGTCCTAATCTCTGAGCCAGTTGTCTAGGCTGTCTTTATGGATAGCAGAAACAAGGACTTCTAGGATGCTCTTCACCTCGCCTTAAGGTAAAGGTCTAAAACAGACACAATGACCTGGCATCCTAGAAGTACCTGCTTTTCCTTCATTGACCCTAAAGAGAATCCACATGATGAGCTGAGGCTCAAACAGAGGTGCTACACTGCAGATATCTATATTTAGGTGTGTTTTTCTCTGAACACATTTGTATTCCAGCCTTTGCAACAACACAGATACTGCGCTGGCTAAAAGCAGATGGGCAAACGTGTTTTCAGCAAGCTGCTCCACTCCCCTCGATGCCAGCATACCTCATCCCTGCGCTTGTGTAACTTCTGCTGGCAGGCAGGACACCGCATACTTCCACTAGTGGAAGAACAAACCAAGTGGAGCAGCTTTGCTGCAAGATGTCATGAGAAAAACTTATTCTTTTGCTTCTTAGAACTGATTTCTCAACATGCAACGTGGCAACAAAGGGTGTCTTGCATCTCTAACTATTGCTGATTTTTGCTCTATATATCACCTTGACACAGTTCTATTGATTTGCCAACAATATTCTGTCTCCTGGCATTTCAGGTCATTTATCTACCATCTCCTTTGTGCTAGGTACTGTGCAAGACCAAGTATCAACTGGTCTCCTACAGCCTGGCTCCTCTCTTACTGCACACGCACAAACATATGAATGCAGAACTGGGAACCTGGCACGGCAGCTAAGGGCCTCCTCCCTCAGCAAAAAAGTTTTCCTGGGTGAAGTACCATTACCTGGTACCCATTCCAGCTGTTCCCCAAGCTGGAAAACGAGAAACAGCACAAGAAAGAAAATCCCACTTACCACAGCGCCAACTCCGTAGCTAGCGGCAGGGGCAAGGGCATGGTAAGGATCTGCTGTGTACACCCTGCCATAACTGAAGAGAGGGAGAAAAGATACAAAAAAAAAAAAAAAAAGAAAAAAGGTCACTTTGGAGGGGCAGAGAAAGAGCTGTCTGACCACAGGCAATGGAAGAAGCAGCATGCCCTTCTACACATATGTATGCATCCATGCACACACATGCACGCAGGCAGCCCCTCTTCAGAGAGATCCTACGGGCATGCTGCCATGCATCGTATGAGATGGGCGAGAGAACAGCCTGCAAGGAGGAACGTGGCAGAAGCCATGAGCTTGACCTGTAGGAAAGAGGTCAGCGCCTTTGACATGACAGCTAGTGCATCCCTTACCTCACGTGATGCAATTTGGGAAGAGAGTGACTGCTGGCGCTAACGCTACCGGCACGGTAACAGCTGCTCAATGGAAAGCAGCGAGGGGCTCTCCAGAATGAAAAGGGAGTATAAACTTTAATGGTCTCGCATGTGCGAGGGTTAAAACCTGGCCCAACTGCACAGGAAATGAAAAATCCTAAGGCAAGCACTCCGATGACAATAATCCTTTACATCTATATGGAGTTGTATGTTAAAGCATCCTAGAGTACTGTTTGAGCTGAGTAATTTTTACTTTACGGATGGGGAGAGAAAGGCACCCAGTGATGAAACAACCTGCCCAGAGCCACACAAGCAAGGAGCTGGCGAGGCAAGCCAGGTCTTTTGATTCCGAGGAGGCCGTAACCACACTGCCTCCTTTGTGCAGAGAATCACAAGGACAGGGAAGAGGCCAGGATTGGTGCCAGCTCACACACACCGGAGGGCAACGCTGCCCGGGAGCAGAGACAAACCGTGCATTCAAGTCTCTCGTGTCGCCGTGCATGCACGTGTGCGCGTGGCAGTGCAAGTGAGACACAGAAACGGGGAGAGAAGTCGGAGTACTGTAATGGATCAATGGCTCCTGGCATCCCTGAGCACAGCAAGCCAGCCCCCGTGGACACCTCCCCCTTACATACCCATCGCTGTAAGCTGCTGCAGCGGCTGCAGCGGCCGTGGCTGCTGTTGCAGTAGCAGGCTGTGCATATCTGTAGGCTGCGTATCCACCCTGCAGGAGAGAAGAGAACTGACTTTACAGATACCTGTCCACCCACGCAGAGCATTAAAAAAAAATAAATAAAAATTAAAAAAAAAAAAAAAAAAATTAAAAAAAAAAAAAAAAAAATTAAAAAAAAAAAAAAAGTCACACACATCACAAGGAGAGGAAGTGTTTCAAACTGCATCAGCTCCCATGTCATGTTTATCGCAAGCATCGCCCATTAACTCGTGTGTATTCCTTTCCTCAGAAGGACCAGGGAGACTCTTCCATTACCCCGTTGTTTAGCAGAAGGAATAAACTAAGGCAAGCCTGAGCATGGCTATATCTCTGCAGGAAATTAAATTTGGCATGGAACTACTGAAAACCAGAGGAGAGCTGAAATCTTGCATAAAAAGTAATTTTTATGTCCCCTTCCTCTTACGCTGGGGAAACCAGAGGTAGGGACTTCCTGCAAAGTGGGCATTTTAGAAAGGGGACCATTCTGAGAAATTCCTGCTTTATTCCCCTTCTATCTCTTTAAGCCTGAGATATCCAAAAGGCTAGAATTTAATTTGGTCCACATGCATAAAAGTACCAATAGCGAGAAAAGCCAAAAAGCAATCAGGAAAAGACAGCCAGAGAAGACAACCTCTGGTAGTCTGAGGGCTGGCAACAGTCAAATTGACAGAGGTACAAACCAGACCATTCTTCCATCCCTCTGTGTAATAAGGAAACAGGTCAGGGAAACTTACGCCAGAACAGTCTGTATTGCTGCTGCGTTTCTGCCCACGCCGCACACCTGTAGTAAAGGTCTTTCAGATGCTTACACTGATAAGAGGTAGTTAATTAAAACATAGTTAGAGCTGGGTTGGCAAAATATGAATCCTGACCCAATGGAAGACCCGTGGGTCTCCTCCTGGGACTCCCACAAGGAGCTCCTGGAGTAGAGGGAGAACTGGCTCAGACAGGCAGCTCTGGACACCCTGCAGTAATGAAGGATGGAGGCCACCTTTCGGACCAGGGGTAAAGGTTTCATGGGCAGACAGCAAAGAGGGCTCTGAAGCCCAGGTTAGATCTTTATTGTACACTTCTGAACACATTTTTGTTAACTTAGGGAGGGCAATGGTAAATGAACCGTGGCTTTGCTAGAAACACAATGAGCCATAAATAACATCAGAAAATTCCAGATTGCTTCTGGCTTTTTTTTTTTTTTCACCAACTGACATTTCAGAAGTTGAAGGACCATAAGGCAGACTTACACTCTTCACCTCCAGAATCAGCTCAACATACCTCTACCACTTCTTCCCTATAGATCTTTTGTGTATATCTAACTAAGAGTACAAGATCAGCTCCACTACAGGACTGTGTGTTTGCTCAGCAATGTTCTGTTTTGGACTAGATAGCTTTAAAATTAGAAGCAGTGATTTTAAATTAATTTTGATTGGTTTTTTGGGGCCTGGGTTAGCCCCATGAAGGCTAACGTGCTATCCAAAGCACACGTGGGGAGTCCCTTTAATCTTCTGGCTAATAGAAGAAAGCAACACAGAACTACACCTCTGAAACATGACCACATTGCCTGAAAGAGATGTCATGTTACAATTTTGCCATTTTAATCACATCCAGCTCTTTCAGTCCCCGCATTTTGGATTTACCATCTGGGGAGGTGCAGCTTGGTTTTAGCATGCTATCATTGCACCACCATTACTCCCACCTCCAAAACACGACAGAGAAGAGAGGAACGAGGTACAGCCTTAATCCAAATCAAACCTTCATCAACCTCACTAAATTAAGACAAAACTTCATACCAATGTCATTGCGGTATTCCCTTAAGTTTATGAGCTTCCTGACCTCTTGATGGGGTCTGTCACTTGGGCACGGTGTATGGGACATTTCTGCCTGGCAGAACCCTCCTCAGGGCAGCCAGCTTCAGCATTCACCCAGATTTCTCCCCACTCTGCCCCACACTTGCCAGCCACATTTCAGATCAGAAGCCATTTCAAATGTGCCTGGCCCATACTCTGAACATGACAGTGAGATGCAGTTTGAAACCAAAAAGGGTTATCATGTAATTCTCTTAATTCATGTCTCTCGTAAAGGAAAACGAAATCAAACCAAACCAAAACAAAATAAAAAAGAAGAAGAAAAGAAAAGAAGGGTTGGAATCAGGTGTGGGAGGGGAATGGCGTAACATTTATTAATCAAAATTAAAAACTAAGCATGCTGACATCTGGAGCTAGAACAACCAGCAAAGTCACCACGTTCAGACTCATATTGGCTAGTTCTATCCATCCCAGCATTCTCTTGGGACAGCAGTTCGCCCTAGGCTCTACCACAAGCTCAGTGAAGTACACAGCCTCAAGTACTAGAGCGTGCAGCCACAACAACCTGCTATTACGGAAACAGTCAGTCACCACTGGAGTTAACATTCCAACCTTAACGGACTCCCGCAGCCTCCCGCCCTCGCCCCCCGGAATGGCTCCCACCCTAGCCCTGTCCCACACCACAATGTTAATAATTATAACAAGCAATAACCCATCTGTTATATCAGAGAAGGGAACAGAGACTCCACTGAGAGATTTAGAGCGGGATGTTAACATTTCTTCAGTCAACTGCACGACAAACAAAAAAAACAGGAGAAATAATTCATTGGAGAAATGAAGTTAAGAAATAGCTGACACGTGTATTGCTTTTTAACCATGCACTGATGCAAAATTGAAGCTACTGTTAATTTAAAAAAGAAAAAAAAAAAGTCACAGGATAGAGGTACACACGCATGGGCAGACCTGCTCAGTTCAAAGCGGCCCGGCAAATTCTACTTGCGTGTACTTCAAATAAAACCAAAAATGGGGATTATAATGGCCATGGCACGTTCCTGTCATAGGAGCAATGAATGTGGACAGCTGGGGAATTTCTGACACGGGGATGTACTTAGCATGACCAGCAGGTCCAAATACACCAAAAGAGGGTGAAGGAAGGAGAAGGAAACTTGTGACTATTGTTATTTCGCAATTGCTTTCACCAAGCTCTGGGACCAGTACAGAGCAAAGGAGACACTGTGCAGGTTGTCTTACCCAGCTGATGCTCCTGTTCTCAATAACTCAGGACCCACCTATAATTCCATCAGTGCATCTAAAGCCCTGCTCAGCTTGTCCAATGCACCAGTTATTTTCTCCTGCTATTCCTGTTCACACACAACTTTAACTGGTATGCAGAGCTCATCCATAACCTTAGCTACACGGTCCTACCACCCCTACTGGTTTCTGATGCCCCTCACTTCGCATACGCTAGTAAATATAAACTGTAACAGAGTAGAGCATCTTCAACAAACAGGAACAATTGTGTTTCCCAAGAAAAGAAAAATAATAGTAACAATTAAAAAAAAAAAAAAAAGGCCCTTACTAGCTGCACCACACTCCTCCAGTGCCCCAGCCAAACTGCAACAGAAAACAGCATCGAGTGGCATAGTACCTGCAACCCAGGACAGCCATGCAAACTCCCACTCCATCTATTAAAGTGAAGGGATTTCACAGGGACAGGTTCCATCTAGGTTCGGTTTTTAAAATCTTTAGCCTTGTCTCAAAAGAAATGAGGGTGGCTGAGCTTCTTTGTGAAGATGTTAAGTTAGAGGCGTTTTTATCAAAGGGACAGTTTAAACACTGCCTTGACAAATAAACAGGAGAACTAAAGGAAAGGCTCATGCATTTTTACTGGGCAGTAACAACCAAAGGGACCGTCTAAATCAAGAATGGACTTGTTCCCCAGACAGTCCAAAAGACTGTACCAGACATGTGAGAGATTAACAGAATCTTAAACGTTGCTTATCTTAATTTAAGCTCTCTTTCTCTGGGTATCCTGTCAGTGTTGCTGGGGCTAAACCCCTTTCTCCATGTGAGTGTGTAGCACCTGAGCCTACAGAGCTCAGTTGTCAAATGTATTTGCTCAGGCATTCACGAAAGCCCAAATTTAAAATGACTCTTCTGTGATGTTATCATCCTTGGTTCATCAATGAAGCAAGACAATATGTATTTTTAAATTCCTCCTTTAAAATTAGATGATAGCTTTTTCAATATTGTCACATATTCCCATAAATAACACAAACATGACAAAACAACATATACAGGAAGCTGCAATCCTAACTAAAGCAGCATTCCAATTACTGAGCATGTTAATGTAGATAAATGAGCACTTTAAGACTATACAGTTCAGCTCAAAATAAGCCCATCTTCTCTTCCACTCTTCATATCCATATTAAGTGATCAATCCAATGAGAACTTGAGGAACTACAAGTTACTACGTCAGTGTGTCCTATGGTATCAGCCTCCCTTTTCTCTTTCCCTTGTTGCCTTAGACAGGTGTACAAAAGTGTGTTGCTGGCCCTCTTTACTCCAAAGAGCCCTTATGCCACTAAGACACAAGCGTTCCCATACCCCTAGAGAAATGTGTAACTCATGGTACCAGTTAGACATGCTTGACTACCTGCCAGGTTTAGGCAGCGAGCCTGATTTTACAATCTTTTATTTGTTGTATCTCAAATGTGTCTTCTCCACCCCCAAAACTGCCCTAAAACAGAAGTTAAGAAGCAGAAAGGGCGAGAACCATTTCCAGTATTTCTGTATTAGAAGGGTGGCATATGTGCACCAGGAATGAGCATGAATGAATTAAAAGAGGTGACAGGACAACAGCGTCCATTGCAGCAGGTGCTTCTACATGGTAATGGGACAAGCATGACCTTGTTAACCCTTCCATTAAATTTATATTAGTTTTTTGTTTGAATGAAATGCCACTCGGTGTGAAATCTGGACACACGCCGCCCTGCTACAGCGGGGGCTCGGATCACACGTGAGTCTGCGCTGCCCTAAAAAAGCCTCTGTTCCCATCTCTAATGTGGTGCTGGAATGGTTAGTATAATTCAGTTTTTTCCACTGCAATCCACAATCTGATCGGTTGGCAGGTCACACTGGCACTCCTACCTGAGGTATTTTAGCGCTAATGATTGGTTCCTGTAAGACTATTCTATAACAGAACACAGGAAGAGCAGTTCAAAAAAACACAGCTGTGGAAAGAAACAATCATACAAACAGCCCGCGGCAGGGCTCACCAGCCTTTTCTTTCCAGTGGATGCAAGCACGCTTTTCACAGGCAGCAGCGGTCTTCGCACGGGTGGGTTTGTTTGGGTTCCCCCCCCACCACCCAGATTGATCCCATTGTAGAAGAAAGATAACCTTTCTTATGATCCGAAATGAAGCCCTCTGCATCCTGGGGGCAGGTTGTTTTATGAATTCAGGTGTCTTGCCAGAGTGGGACGCATCCAACAAGAGATGGAATGCCTTCTTCACAGAAGAAATGGCTAGCAGGATGGTTGCCCCAGGAGAGAAAAAAGGAGTGAGGAAGAGGAGGAGGAGGAAAATGAGAAATTGGTGCATAACATGTATGCAGAAAAAGCAGCCCAAACTTGGGACAGTTCCCCTTCATCTTACCTACCACTAACCACTCCCTGACAGCTCAGCCCCTTTCCACCCCTTCCTTGACACAACCCTGCAGGTTCCCTTAGGTCTTCTAAGTTCAACTTTCCTCCCAGTCCTAACTGAAGCATCCTCTGCCACCCCTTCCACAATCTGGACAAGCCTTTCACAGCAACCAGAGGGATGTAAGCGCTGCAGTGAAAAGCACGACTAATCAGTGGGGCACAGAGACGCTGTTACCGTTCCACCTGTGCCAAGTAAATTGTTTAGAAACATAACTTCATCTTTGGATTATGATAAATTTTTCCCGAGCTCCACTGGAGGGCTCTGGGCAGCAATTACCATAGCAAAAAGCACCACCATTTACCTTGATGAGTCTCCTATCATCTTAGTTTCTGACAGTGAGACCACAGCCACCAACAGCAAAGTTGTCAGAGGTCCACCTAACGGTTCTAACCTGAAGTGGGGCTTGGTTTTGTGTTACATGATGCCACTGCATTGCAGCACCATATGGTTATGGGGATTCTGCATTACTGAAGTCTCTGTCCTTAGAACATGTTAAATAAGCCTCTCCTCCCCCTGCAATGGAAGCTCTGAAGGAGCTTTCTCAAAAGAAATAGGGAGTAATCCTGGCCAATCTTTCCTTTTAACATGCCAGCCTCTTAGATGCCATACTCTGAGGGAAGAAGAATTAAGCATTGCTCGTTTGCTTGCTTATTTGCTGTAGCAAAGTCAGTGGTTGGCAAAGCTGGTGTTTTCGGAGTGAGGCAGGAAAACCCAGAACCCTCTGTAGTCCTTGACACAGTTTCATAAAGGAACACGTGACTAGGCAGGGCTGTGCATGTGATAGTATACATAAGAATGAAGAAATGCACCCAATATCTCTGCGCTCAGAGAACGTGTCTTCCAACCGCTCTAAGTGTGTTGAGAAAAGCACCTTTACAAGGCGTGACCCTCCATATAAGCCAACAAAATCCAAAAGCTAATTCCATCCATCATCTTGAGTCTAACCCTAGGGTCCTCTTTATGAACATCAAGAGTAGCACCTTCAAAGGAGCGGGGATGTGAATTCCATGCTGACAACTGTGCCACTGCCCAGTACAAAACTTCCCCAGCTCCAAAGAGCTATTACCTACAATACTGCAAAAGGGAGCTCTGCTAGAGCTAGGCAGGCCACAAGTTGCCATGGCAGTAGTGGACCTGAACATTTTGGCTTTGAAGGGCGCATTCCTACCACAGCTTCTCTGCAACAGCTCTCCATCAGAGAGGAAACTGCTTTTCTCACTGGCCAGTCAGAATCCCTCCGTCCATGACCCACCTACGTATACACCGATGCCCTGGAGATTTGCAATACCGACTGGCTAGGTAGGACAAAGACAATGACAGGACAAAGTCTCCTGTGGTATCAGAGCTAATTCCCAGACAGGAGGAGGCTGCTGACTCTTCTAACCGAACATCTCCACATATTTGTACTTTACAATTCCCCAAAGGGGCGAGAGAATCTAGCCTATTTAGGTACCATTTCTACCAGCAAAATGAGATGTCAGTTCTCACTCTAGCATCTCAGTCTCCATTTTTAATCAGTCCCAGTGTCTTCCCCAAAGGGATTATCTCCACATCCCAGTGGCACATGAACATTTTTAAACATACAGCTCGCTCAGTTTAGTGTGGGCTGCACAAATCAAACCTGAAAGGGCCCCAAGAGGGGGAGAGAAAGGGGAGGGTGGAGGGGGAGAAGGAAAGGGAAGGTCTGAGGCTAAACCAGTCCTGTTATTTTTATATCCAAATTATGTAAACGAGAGAAGTGTTGAGAGAAATTTTAATTCGCTAATCATCTCTCAGGTTGATTAGTAGCAGTGTGCATGTGGGAGACAGGACACCCAGTAAACTGACCCTGGCAATGATCAGGAAACCCAAAGGCTTAGGTCTTGCACCCAGGGGCAAGCGCAGTGACAGAGAAGCATGCTTGCATTCCTAAATATATAAATATATATATCCACAAGGAAGAAGAAAATTAAAGTAAATGATATTTAAAAAAAAACAAACCAAACCAAACAAACAAACCAAAAGAAAAAAATAAAAAAAAAGGCTGGCTTGTCAGGGGTTGGGGACGAGAAGGCTCCGGTGTGTGTACTTACATAGAGGTCAGCACCGTAAAATCCGTCCTGGTAAACCACACTGCAGAAAATCCACACAAAAACAAAACAAAAAAAAAACAAAACAAAAAAAAAACAAAACAAAAAAAAAACAAAACAAAAAAAAAACAAAACAAAAAAAAAACAAAACAAAAAAAAAACAAAACAAAAAAAAAACAAAACAAAAAAAAAACAAAACAAAAAAAAAACAAAACAAAAAAAAAACAAAACAAAAAAAAAACAAAACAAAAAAAAAACAAAACAAAAAAAAAACAAAACAAAAAAAAAACAAAACAAAAAAAAAACAAAACAAAAAAAAAACAAAACAAAAAAAAAACAAAACAAAAAAAAAACAAAACAAAAAAAAAACAAAACAAAAAAAAAACAAAACAAAAAAAAAACAAAACAAAAAAAAAACAAAACAAAAAAAAAACAAAACAAAAAAAAAACAAAACAAAAAAAAAACAAAACAAAAAAAAAACAAAACAAAAAAAAAACAAAACAAAAAAAAAACAAAACAAAAAAACAAAAAACAAAAGAACAGAAAACACATTCCGGTTATTGAGGACGGCAGCATGCACATGCGTTTTACACAGGCAGGTGATGTATGAATCCACAACCTGGGCTTTTGGCAGGAGCAAATCAGCGAGAGAATGTGTGTGCGCACGCACGCTAGACGGCTCCAAGTCATCTTCCATGGCATGCAAAAGGGAAGGGGCGGGCAGAGGGGGAGACAGTATGCGAAGGAGAGAGGGAGGGGAACCACCATCTTGTACAATCAAAATAGACTCAAAAAGATCTGATGTCCTGAAGAAGAGAAACAAGGGTTTAGAAACCTCCACTCTGGTTATTCTCCTGGAATTATTTTATTTACCCCCTAAACACGTGGAAACATTGGCTTCATGGAGTGGGCTTGTGAAATTGAGGAGCCCCTCAGAAGGCATCCCACAGGGGCTGGAGTCACCTATGTCAGAAGCACGTTTAAGAGTTGTGTATGATTACGTATTTTGAGGTTCACAGGGCCACATGACTTTGTTTCTGACATCCATACATCACCTGCTTTTACCCTGCACATTAGACATGCGATAAGATTTGGCTGATCACACAAGCATGCAAAGTATTATTATTCAGCATCTTAAAGAACCGATGCAACACCTCAGGAAAACAAGTCAATCAATTCTGATCAAAGTAAACACAGAGAAATGTAATTAAAAAGAAAAAACCAAAAATACCCACAATGCATTGCTTTCACAAGCAGAGATAATGAGCTAAAAAGGTTAGGTGACTGGTCCAAGGTCCAAGAATTGAAAGGTGCAGTGGGAGTCCCTGGTAGTAACAACCTATTGCGTAGCAGAGAGGAGCAACTGGAAGGGTTTCCATGGGATGGTGCTTTCTCTGCTTTAAGCCATAGTTTTCTTTCTCTCAGAACTTCAAGCAGGAAAACTGCTAAACCAGAGCCTGGGGTTCCCAAAGAGCCACTCTTACCAGAGCATTTGCTAGCGTAAGACTATGCAGCTCGCTTTGGGGACAGGGGTTGGGGAAGGATGAGGAAGGAAGAGAGGGGATGCCCCCCACCCATTTGAGTTCAGCGTGTGCTTCATCCTGAGGAATTTCCTCCTGCTTTATTCTCTGAATAGCTCCACATAAAATCACTCAAGGCTTTAAAAAACATTAGCCCCACCATCTGTGATGTTCATGGATCTGATGTGCATGACTTACCAGTAGCATTAAGGAAAAAGAAGGTATGGAACACTAGCTTTTCTTTTGATTATCATTTTTTACTCATCAGACAGAATGTGAAATGCTGCCAAGAACCTGCCACCCTCAGACACCCACCTATTGTAAGGCACGCACACACAAAAAAGCCCAGCAGATCTTGCCAAAATTCTGCATGCTATTACTAATAAAATAAAATTTAAAAAAAAATCTGTTGCAGTGTTAGCTACTGCTTGAATAATTTAGTCTTGTTGTCTTCCCCAGGAAAAGTACACTTCATTCCCAATGGATAAAGTTACTACGGTCTCCAAGAGTGCTGGGAGCAGATATGAAGATAGAGACCCTTGTTAGAGGAAGAGGGGAGCCACTTCAGCAGGGAGAAGCAGGCCATAAGATCATGTTTGTTGAAGCTAAATTTTTACAACCACATAACAAATAATTTGGCTCCTGGGGCAGTGACTTACATTGCTGGGTTCTCTATCTAGGACCAGGAGTGTTTTAGCAGTGATACTCCACCTGCTCCTGCAGGAAAGGCAAACGCATGACAGAGGAAGTGACTGTGGGTTTATGAACAGGTTAGCAGTTTTAACAGTTATTCCGAACACAATCAGCTGGATGAACACAAGCATTACCACATTGGATCAGGCCACTATTCCTGTAACTCAGAATCCTGTCAGCGAGAGATACTAGCATCAGCTCTCCATAATAAACTGCAAGAACACTAATAGCAGGAAAGAGCAAGAATTCCTGAGTCCAGACAATGAAGTACAGGTGTATCCTCCATCTCTCCTTCAGTTAGGACTTGACTGACACCAACTGCTAGGGCTGAAATTTAGCAAGGTTTATTTATACGCTAGAATATCTGTATCTTTGATTCTTAATGCTAGCAAAACCAGACAGAATTCATCCGAGAACCACAGAGACCATTCTGGTTATGTAGACTGACCAGAAGCAAAAAGCAACCCAGCAGCCTGTCAACTCTGTGGCATCTGCAAAAAGTCGACTAGCTGAGCTAAAACACATCCATAAGAAAAAAAAAAAAAATGCTTGCTCTGCAAAGCAATCATCGTATCATTTAGGTGTACCAACAGTTGACTTTGTTGTAAAAGGAACCCAAAAAACCACTCTAAACCCCCAAAGCTCTCTACTGCCTTATATCTAGTCTGACTTTTATCTTCTTTTGGCTTTGAGTCAGTGAATCCTCTATATATTTACACTCCTAGACTAAACTATTCTTTACTATGGCAAACCTGCTCTTCATTTAGGTACTTGAAGACCATAAACAAGTCAATATCTAACCTATAGTTTGAAAACTAAAATTGATCAAGCTTATTTAGTTTTGAAAGTTTTATAGTAGGCAAGGCTTTTTTCAGACTGACTTAATTCTTACAGCTTTTGGTCTGAAATGTAATTTGTCAGCATTCTTGTTTAGAAAGCATGGACACTACAAATCAGGGCAATATTCCAGTGCAGGTTTTACTCATGCAATATATCAGAAGTTATAATATGTCTCCTTACTTCTACTGAATGCCGTCTTGGTTATAAATTGAGGGTTTTATTTGTATTCTGAGGTCAAGCTCAGGTGACTATCTAACATCCTCTCCAATTGCCTGAGCAATTTCTTCCTAAGGTATGAACAGCTTTCCCTGGATAAAAGTCCATATCCACACGTAGGTATGTACAGTCCACATATGCATTAGTAAATCTTAGTTTGAGTTCTTGAAATAAATGTTAAAACTATTAAGAACGGTATGATTTCTTGCACCTTCCTCTGGAGTATCTAGCACTAGACACTGTGAAAACTTACTCTAACCTGAACGGCCCTCAGGTCTGATCCAGTATGGCAATTCCCATGAGCTTTTATGAATCTACATTCTGCATTTTTTGAATTCTGCTAAGCTCTCAAATGCAGTGATGCCAGTAAGTTGTGTAACTTAAAACTTAAACACCACTTAGGTTTGTGAAAACCAATTCCTTCTACTAGGTTTGAGTTAACCTGCAGCTTACTTCACTGTCTTCTTCCACATTACTCACTATGTCTTGATCACTCATGTTGCTGACTGATCTTACGGTGTCATCTTGCCACTGGCCAGGAGGAAAGCAACTGATGCAGGGTAAGGTGTCTGGCTCCATGGAGGTCAACACTGCCCACATGGAGTGGTGGTTGTCCTACAGGTTACTGCGACATGGAACTGAGTAGCATGTTGTATATTATTCATGAGGAATTAAATTCCCTCTATGACATATCTTGTAGAGATTCAGACTGCGATGACAATAAAGACCAGAGTTAGGTAATTACACCCCAGTGTCCAGGACTAGGGACAGTTCTGGGCCATTTGTGAACTTGCCTTGCTTACTGCTGCCCTGAAAACATTTACTGGATAGTGTGCTGCCCATGAAGATGTGGAATCAGTCAGCAGGGTCAGGCAAACTCAACGTAATGTAAGTAAACACAGTCATGGGACAATATTTGGAAGGGATAATCATTGGAGCCTGGCCCATATTCTGAATGGAAATAAACCTTTCATACAGGACTCAGCTCTAAGACAAGCTTAGAGTCCCTCCCAGTCCAGCACTCGTGACAGCCTCTTGCTAGGAATGCTCCAGCCATTAACTCCCAGGGATGAAGAGCATGTCCCCTCCCTGGTGCAAGCACTTCATACTCTGCTAGACGGCAGCACTTAGCTTTTCTGCTCTGTTCCACTGTGGAGCACTTCTCAATAGAATCAGACTGGGTCATTTTTAGAGCAACAGACAGACAAGTTGCAGGTCAGAGGCTATGGTTATGGGATACAGAATATGAACTAGGAGTGGTGGCAAAAAGAGGTGGATCTGAAAATCCAGAATAAACACTCTGTTTGGCAGGCCAACGTGTTCAGACAAGAGGTTTCATTTAAAGTCTTCTGGTGAATTAAATACAAACATTGCCAGATTTGCTGGAGAGCGAAGCTAGATAGACACATGACCACTGCAGCTTGCTTCCTTGAGCTCTACTTTAAATATCAAACTGGACTCCAAAAAGAAAGGGCCACAGTAGCTCTTACCACGTAATCTGCCACAGAAGGTATTTGCAAAGTTTGTCCAGCGTATATCAGGCCAGCTCCTTGCACTGATGTGTGTGGCTTCCACCTCCATTTTTAATAAAGATTTATAATTTATTTTCTTCCCTTTTGGGGCTAGACTAAGGAAAAAACTTCTCCATGTTGGAGGATTCATTCCTACTCCTATTCTTTCTGAGAACGTTGCCTGGAAAACATGGCAAGTACAATTCCAGAGACAGGCAATATGAATAAAGCATCTTCAAAACCAGAAACAAAAAAAGACAGTTTGGAAGGGATTTGTTGATTTCTATGTTGTTCCATCACACTTAAACAAACAAACAAAAACTCAAACCAAAACTCACATACAAACCTAGTTCCCTGTACTTTTAAACAGCACAATATGCTTCTGCAACAGCATCTATTCCACTGCATTACTAGCGAAAAGTCAGAGGGCAAGGAATGCTAAGGCCACGCATTCACCATTGCTTCATATAACAGTTAGAAGAACACTGCACTTTCATTCTCCCTATATCCCAAACACTCCCGGTTTTAAATTAATGGACTTGATTAATCTTTGTTTTAAACCTTTTTAAACCGTCTCCAACAAAGAAAGCAAATCCATTGTGGGTAACTGGCTCTTCTGTGTCCTACTGCCAGATGGTGAGGCATGAAGGTAATGGATAATACTCCTCATTCCCGAATACGAAAACACAAATGGAGTGCAAAGAGCAGAACCTTTTTGGAAGTCTTAAACCTTCTCTCTTTGCGTCCTTCTCAGCAGTGCTATAACGTATTGGGTGAATGGATGATGACAAATACCACGTAGACAAATTGAGAAACTATGAGAAGGAATCCATCAGCGCTTTACGCTGCTGCAACAAGTACTGAGAATTGTTTCAGTGAAGAACTTAAAATTTAGATTTGCCCCCACTAGATGCCATCGTATGCAGAATCCTCTGGCACTAGCAAAATCCTGACTCTCACCATCCAGACAATTTTAGTTATTTTTTGGTTAACCAATCAACTATTTGACGTGTTTGTGCAGAGCACTCTGCTCTCATGACCAGTGCTTACCCTGGGTAGGCAGGGATGGCTGTGGGAGGTACTGCCCGGACTGCCCCATACACTGTCCTTCCTCGGCCCCTCAGATGGGCTCCCCGAAACGCGGCTGCTGTGGTGGCTGCAGTTGGATAGGGGAAGCCTGGAACTGGAAAGACAGACAAGGTGGAGGGTGAAAAGGATCCAAATCCCTGCCCAGAGAACAACCGTCTGCTCCAAACAAAGTGACACAATAGCTCCACAGCGGTGGGACATTTTGCATCAGTCCTGCAGAGGGGCATGCTTATAACCCAGCAAGCATCCGATACGTACTTCCTGCTACACCATGGCCTTTGGGGGAAGAGGGGTTGCAGAGAGGTTTGGCATGCAAGAGGTTAATGCTTTGGCATGCCTCACCCACCACAAACAGGGTACCAATCCCCCCGCCTTTTTACACCGCCATGCACTCTGGTTAGAGTCCGAGAAGCGCAGAGAGTTACTGTCGATACAGCAGGCGGCTCTTCCAAAACTGCAGAGGCTCTTTAATATAATTTGTCAAGAGGCCCTTAAAGTCAACCAACTTACATCAGTCTCTTCCCTCCTTTCCCCTCCCACTCTTTGCCACCCAATCCTCTGTATGTTCATTTTAAAGCCTGAAAGACAAGATAGCCCATATAACAGCAGCAGCAATTTCCCATAAAGTGCCAATTTACTGAGAGCCCACCTTCTTTTAACAAGCGTGACCAGTAACTGGCTCCATGTATAGTGGGGCCTGCTTTATTACGCTTTACACCGGAGTAAACTGACCCGTGATGAAGTGATGTAAAACCTCAGAGGCATCTGCAAACATGTAATCAACAGATACCGAGAGGGAGGGAGTCGCAGGGCACAAACCCAACCCAAAGTGCGTCCAGGTGCATGCCGCTAGCGGCCCTGCAGACTCGCGGTTTAGCAGCTTGTATAATATGTACTTTAGGGATTTGTCCGTTTGGTTTCTTTGATTTCAAAAGGGAGAGCGGGGGGAAGGGAATGGCCTATTCCTCACACACACCCTCCCCTTGTTCTGCAGCCTCCTCATCGCTCAGAGAGACCCATTCACCAGCACAGAAACACACTGCAGATGAACAAGTTACAGCCACTGCACCAGTGTACTTTGGCTGGAAGTAAACTCGTTCCCAGCGAGACCCATCCTTTCAAGTATATATTATACAGACTGGAGAGAAGAAGAGTAACAGGTCATCGTTAACTCAAGCACAGTAACAATATAGGGGCCAACGGGGGCTACTTACTGATTAAAGGAATGTAAGTGTTAATACCCCCCCTTCCTGACAGGGGCACTGCGGCGTCATTGCCCAGCGAGACATCTGCTTGAAAGCTGGACGCTAATTCAATTTTAAAAAGAATAAAAAAAAAAACAAAACACAAAACGTAAAAAGGTTATAAAGAAACAGCAGATTGAGAACATAAACAAACACCACTGCAGTTAAATGGCAGAAGTGGAAGTGTCTACTTAAGCTCTACCTGCATATAACTCAGGGCCGTACACCGCTCCAACCACAGGACTCAACTTCCAACCTGAAACAACAAAGACTGCAGTGAATGCCAAAATCTACACCAAGAGAAGGAGCGGGCAGTGTGGGTAGGGGGAACAGTCTCTTTGCGTGCGCCCCAGCTTCACATGCACAGCTCTTTCCAATTTCTGCTTCGCCTCAATCCCCCTTGGTGTAGATGGAGGCCAACTGCCTTTTTCTAATGTCAAGTTCTAGGTACAGGTCGCTGGATCGGAGGGAACAGCGAAACATCAGCTGATCCACTGAGGGAATGCCAACTACCTTATATGCATATTCGCCACCAACACCGTGCGACCCTGTGATCCCTGCACCAACCTTGCTGCCAGCTCCTCCAGCTCTCCCTGCTTTCACCAGGAATGCTGCGGATCCAAAAGCTCCCTAAAGCCACCGGCCCGGACTGTCGTCCCGGGCAAATCAATTTATAGCCTTCAATTCTCAAAACGCCCTTCTGTCTTATTTGCTAGAGATCTGCTAGAAAGCAACAGTGTCTGAATTTCCTCACTAACCAAATCACACAACTACAGCGCAGAAAAGCAATTCAGCCTATTCATCTCACATCTTTTTCTCTCTGTGTTATTTTAGGATTTCCTGTCTTCTTTATGCCGCTTTTCAGGTGAACGCTGTCCCAGAGAATTGATTTTAGTATCATCTGGGTAACTGGCAAGAACTGCAAATCATAACACCTACAAGAGAATAGTGCTTAAAGAAGTCATCACTGGGGTACGAGTAGGACACTTCCCAGTCAGATCTAGAAACTTATCTGTCTTCGCCCCCACCTTTCTACGTGGGAAGAGAAGCAAGGGGTGTAAAGCTAACATCATGATCTGGGCTGGCTTCCACAAAGTATTCCCTTCCAGGAAAGATCTCGGCTGTTCAGCTAGCAACCACACAGGCATATTTAAATAAACCCATATTCTTCCTCTGTCTTGGAGTTCTGACACAATTACTTCACTTTTACACCTCTAACGGGCCTAGAAACTGTATGAACAACTTTGTGAACTGCAGCCCATCAACACCATCCCTTCATCTGCTGGCAGGGTATCAACGAGAGATGCAATGTGTTGACCACCTTGATGGCAAAACTCAAGTGAGTGGTGGCAACAAGGGGACTGGCATCAAACCCTCAAATGTGAAACCGGTTGTACGACCACTCATCAGCACGCCTTAAGCCTGGCCTCATACTGAATACCTTTGCATAGCTTTAAAGCTGGCTTTAAATTGCTGGCTGCGAAAACAAAATACTCTGGCCCATTATCAGGGTTTCACAAGTCATCGCTATGTAAGCCAAGTTTTATTACCAAATAGTCATATGCATTTTCTGCCCTTGTTTTCAGGACAACATAACATGGCTGCGTTGCCTTTTACTACAAAATCTCCTGGATCCTTTCAGACACTGAGGCTCAGAATCCCAGCCTTTCTGCCTGCCCCTGTTTTCCCAGTTCTGTAACCAAAAAAACACTGATTTGCCAAGAGCCATGCAACAAGTCAGAAGCAGAGTCACAAATAAAATCCCTATCTTCTGACTTCTGAGTCTTAGGTTGTAACCAAAGCAGTTTCTCACACTAGCAACTACCTATATGCAGCTTCCTGCCTTGTTGAAGTTGTTTGGGAATATTTTCAGGCCAAAAAGAATTCTTCTGCCTGTTTCAGGACAAAGACTCAGATTCAAAATCTGTATCAAAGCAGCATTCAGTTCTGTCAGGAGAAGAACGACTTTTTATGCTATATATGCCTGTGCAATAAAATTACTGCACAGACTGAAGAACCAAGATATCCCGATGAAACGGGATTCTTCATTACCCAAACAACTTGGTCTTTCTCTATTCAGGTTCACTGGAAAATGACTGAACACAGGCACAGTCTGTAACAAAAAGTGAGCAAACAAGCAGCGCAATGCCTCTGCTTCCCTGGCTGCTTGGGGACAGCTGTACTTTTACAGTTAGAACCTAAACTGAGATATATCCAATTATGTATCCTAAGTTATGCTTCTGCATTCATATTTAGGTATCTACGTGATGGCAAGAAGGCTCGGGAGTATGGCATATCCCACTGTACAGCATCAGCTTGCAGTAGTGCCAGGCAACCTACTGGTCCTTGGTTTCTTTACCAGCTTGGCCACATTGGGCATATCACTGCTCCTCTCTGTCCCCACTTCTTCATCTGTAAAATAGCATTCCTCCATATTCCTCCATAAACGCTTGGGTTACACTGAAGAGTAATGCTATAAATTATAGTTTGTGGGGTTTTGTTGGTTTCTTTTGGAGTTGGTTTTTTTGGTCCTGAGGAGGTCATGACTTTTCCCTTTTAGCTTTCTTCAAACCTTTCAGCTCATCGTTAGTACAGTCTCTCTTACCATTTGCGTATGGCGTGACCATCTTCTTATTGGTCATCACTCGCGCAGTGGCGTTGTTAACCTAAAAGTAAGAAAGGGGAGGGGGAGGAGAGGGAAGGAAGCAAAGGACGTTAGGGAAAACAGTGGAAAACTCTCAGATACCACACACACACACACACACACTATACTTCTCTGAGCAAAAAAAAATTAAACAACTAATTTTACAAGAATGCAATATTTAAATTACTTTTAAAAGTTGCCATTTAATTATAAAAGTTACAGCTAAACGTGGCACTTTAAAATTATGCATTAAACAAAAGGCCAACGAGAGTAAAGTGTAGATTCTCCGCCGCCCTGCCACCCATTGGCGTGTGCTTATTTTCAGCTTACTGATCGGAAGGGCAAAACTTTGGAGGTTTTGTCCAGGTTCTGTTCGAGAGGCAGCGACAACTTCTGCAGCCAGGGCAGGGGAACTGAACCAGGTGATGCACAAGCTGACTTGTTTCTCAAGCTCACCGTTGGGATTGGGGCCCAGTAGGTTGCTGGCAGCCATACATTTTAGATAGAAAAAAGGTAGCCTGGAGTCCATCAGCTTTACGTTTGGACTCCCAAGGCTTGAGGAAATTTCTGGAACTCCACCAAGCATTTGGACAGTCTACGTTCACCAATTTCCTCCCCAGCGTTTTCAAATCTTTTTCCAGATTATTTTTTCCTTGTCACAAATCTCATGGAACAAAAAGAAGAAATACATAGCTGTAGACCCGGGTCATTTTTTGGTTGCGCTGTGCCCTCCACCCTCTTTACAGAGCTCTGCATAGTTCCAAGCGGTTTGATTGCTCAAGCAAGTGGGGTGTTACCACAGAGATGGTGCTGATAAAGAAAAGATGGACCAGTTTGGAAGCCAAGTTACTGCAGCCCTGTGTCAGACAGCCTCAAAGTTCTTGCAAGGAGGGTGAAGTCTTTATACAACATGAATAATTTATCAAAAGCCATTTGGCATGGGAATTGAGGCCAGGGTAAAGAATTAAAAAAAAAAAGGGAAATATAAAAATAAAAGCTGCCTCAGGCCCTTGCGACTTATGGATGGTGAGCATACATGGGGTGGGGAGTCTGGAGCTACATTTACTCTCGTTTCAGCCCCAAAACAATAGAAACATTACACATTTAAAAAGAAAGAATGGGAAACAACAATGATGAGACTGAGAGCATGCAGTTAAACACACACAGATAAAAGAAAGAAAAAAAAAAACAAACCAAAAACAAAACACCACAATTGATTCAGAGGGTGGGGAGGGGAGGAGGGAGGAGATGGGGTCTCACAGACAATCATTAAGATGGAGCGAGTGCCTGAAATCAGCTGCTACAGCAAAGTGCAACACAAGCACTTAAAGGAAAAATTGCCAGAACCGATCAGAAACCACCAGTCAGCAAAGAGACCAACAGCTGCATTTAACCGAGTAAAGAAATAAACCGGGGAGGGAGGGAGAGAGAGAAAGAAAAAGAGAGAAAACAAACAATAACAGCTACAAACAGGTCTCAGAAAGAGAGAGCAGCAGAAAGAAGGGGCAGGAGAGAGAGAAGAGGAAATGGGTGCATTAATAAAAACCAGCCAAACTGGAGTTCAGTAACTCTGAGTAAGATGTGCAAGGGGAAATCACCATGAAGTCAGTAATCAAACAGCTCAGACTGCTACAAAACGATATGTACATCCAAAGTCCAGGCGGCATTACTCAACAGCATTGAAAATAAAAGGGGGAGAAAGGGAAGGAGGTGGGTAGGGAAAACAAGTCAAATCACATTTCGTAGTGTTAATGTGAGATGGCAGATGGATTTTTTTCTTTCTTATTTAATTTTGGTTTTTTGTAATTTTAAGAAAAATTAAAAAAAAAAAAAAAAAGAAAAAGCTTCTTCTCTAGCGCTTTTGTTTCACTTACCGCCAACTCGTACCATCGCCAGCATTGTGTATAGTTACCATGGAAAGAGTGAGTCAAGTGAAGGGCCCTAAACGCTAAACCATCGAAAAGGGAAATAAAAAAAACAAAACAAAAAAAAGCAAAATATGCAGACATCTTACTCAAAAACGGCGGCTTTTTTGTTTTAATATTTGTACTTTTTTTTTTTTTTTAAAAGGAAAGAGGGAGAGAGGGGAAGACGCCAGTTAGCCTTCAACACAGTGGAACACCAAACTGGTCAACACCAGGCATGCCCAATATGATGGCCCATGTTGGCCATCCAACATTAACCTTTCACTCCCCTGCGGTGAGAGCTAGAAACTTTAAGGATTGGCTTTCACCGAGACAATTCTTGACCAGTGGCAGGTCAAGAAACCAGTGGTATGTACAGCACAGCCCACTCAGGGCTTCCGCCCCGTGTCTCCCCTCCCACCATGGGCATCATCTCACACTTTGAGTGGAGGAGAACTGGCCTCGGAGGAAAGAGAGGATACTGGCTGGCCCCCTGCTTTATTTTTTTGGACACAGAGTTAGAAGTCGGACAGTACTCTTTCAGTTAGTTTTGTTCAGGCCTGGTAACAGGAAATCGGAGCCTCGCAAACTGAAGCAAAGGAAAAATCAAGACAGCAGAAGGGCAAAAATTTGGAGTGGGTGGGAAAAAAACTTAATAAAAGAAGAAAGAAAAGAAAAAATACCCAAAACAACAATAAAAATATTCCGTAAGGGGTGTAAACTTTTATACATTTCAGTGCAGGGAGGTGAAGGACACAGACACAAACACACACGCACACACGAGACTGGGATCCAAATGTGAAATAAGTGAAGCAAGACACAAAAAGAAATCAAAAGAATAAATATAAAGAAGAAATTGAATTACTGAAGACATGCACCTCGATTTTACGGCCCTCTACCACGGTGCCGTGTAATTTCTCCCTGGCCCTGTCTGCATCAGCACTATTCTCGAAAGTTACGAACCCGAATCCCTGCATGCAGCGGGAGAAGGGGGGAAAACATGCACATCGTTATATATTGAAATACTGATCTCTAGGTAAATAGAGAAAAAATATCACAGTATGAAATCGACATCAGCACAACTCAGCAATAACCTCCTAGAGTCACATTGTTGGTTCATGCATGTTTCATAAATGAAAGAAATTAAATTCAATAAAATAAAGGAACTGTAATCATAAGAATAATAAGAATAATAATTAAAAAAAAAGAAACATAAAAGCAATTGAGGCCAGACCAAAAAAGAAGTACAAAGTTACTCGAGACAATTTTTTTTTTTTGCTCATTTTGTTTGTTTGTTTAAAAACACTAAACTCTGCTCCGACATAGGCAAGCTGGTCAAGCCCAAGCGGGGTTTCTCTCCCCTCTGCTAATTTACACACATGCTTTGCATGACCCCCCGCCCCCCCGGACACGGTACAGGACATCGACACTGAGCAGCACTTCGTTCTCTTGAGAAACTGCTGCGAGAGCGAGCAGTGATCTGAGTTCACGCCTGGCACCAGGAATTCTGCGAAGCTTTGGGCAAATCAAACACTGAACCTTGCTTTTCCCACCTGTAAAATGAGACAATAATAATTACCTACCTTAGAAAACTGTTGAGAGGAAGGGCTGTTTGAAAATCATCCCTTGCAAGCTCTTCAGGGAACAGCTCATGTCTACACTCCTACGCCTGTAACTTCACTAATAACGCATGAGGCCCTGAAAGTAAGCAGGGCTTCTAGGTGGCACCATCAAATAAACGTTACTTAACAGGAAGATTTGGAGTATCACATATTCTAGTTGCAAAATTTCCCTATTTATAAGTACTGTGTTGGACTCGAGTGTAAATCTAAACTCCTAAATACCCATTCATCGGTAAAGGTAGGTTTTGTCTAACACTGTTGACCTACTGCTACCACCCTCCTGCCCTGCTACCCATCCTACTTGGCTTTGTTCTGAGATGGCGACCTCTGCACAGTGGATTGTAACAAAGCTCTGCGTAGTTAGACCATGAAGTTTGAGGAAAAATTAACATGCCCTGCTTGGAGCAGCCACAAAGGCGCAAGGACTACTAAGATGTCCCTTTGGTTAGGAGAATTTAGGTTTACCGCATCCAGGATGGCACGTGCAACACGCCTGTCCTTACATGCTCATGCTGCTGCCAACTCATGCAGTCACCTAACAGGGCAGGGTAGGAGATCATGCTTCCCTCCATGGAGATGAGTGCACTGACATTAAAACAGAGCCAATGTGACTAAGCAAATTAGGATTTTATCTAGTAACAAATGGTATCTTTCTACAGACAACTGTGACGAGATATTCTCCATGCCATTGCAGAGAGCAGGGCCAAATAAAGCTTTGTTGCATTCTGCTTCTAGGGTATCTTAATAACAGGAGATGGGTAGCTGGCTCCCATGGCTTGGTATAAAGCACGTATTGGTTTAATGTACAGAGAGAGAGTAATCTCTGCTGGCTCCTATACCCTCAGCAGCAGGAGGGACAAAACTTGCATTTGATGTGATGGAAGCTCCCGGTATTAACCAGAGAGCGAGGTGATGTGAGCGATCTACAGCTATTCCCAAGCTATGCAGGAACATGGCATGCTTGCCAGCCTCATGGTCCCCTCTGTGCAGCTCAGTGTCCATATGTATGGACCAGACCCTTTCCCCTCCCCTCCCCACAAAAGAAAGCATCACAATTTCCAAGCACTGTTAACAACAAGACACAAGCAAGCCATCATTCTTCAAGTGCATTTTAAAGGTCTTTACAATACAAATCTTAAAAAGCCCAAGCTATTTGCACATGCTGGCCTTTGTCATCCACAGCTAGGTTTCCAGCACAAAACCGTTACACATTTGTAAAATGCAGCTTTATTTCTTTTTTTTTTTCTTTTCCCCTTAACAGCAATAATAAAAGAACTTAGCCAAGTACTGCAATGCTGAGATCAAAGACAGTGCTCCTTTGGGCTCCAACCCAATAATCTAAAGCTTCAGATAATTTCATTTCTTCGGCTATAAATAAAAAGCTATATAAATAACAAACTGATGCCTTTTTCAGAACAGCATAAAAGTTTTCTGTTTCAATGAATTAAAATTGGAGCTACAAGAGATCGGGGCTAATACAACACCCCAGCCGCATGTAACTCAAATATGGTGCAGGGAACCACGGGGGTGCGGGGGGGTTCAACAGCAGAGCTGATTATGAAGGGACAGGGTATCGTGTCCGCTTCAAAGGACCCCTACAGAGAAAGGCAAGGCTGAGAAATAGAGCAACACCTTCCCCTCTGGTTCTATATAATGGGGGAAAAGCATCTTTAAAAGGCTGGAGGAGGAGGGGAGGTAAAGACTGCAACAGGAATCTCTATTTCCCTCTTCTCCTTTTACATTAAAATTTCTGTTTGTTCTAGACAAGCCTGTGGAGACCGAATGAAATTTATGTCTTCGCTGATGATGTGAACTGAAAGCTGGAGAGCAGAGGGAAGGTAATTTTTTAGGCATTAATCTGTGCAGGCTAGAATCAAACTAAGGCTATTTTAATTCACATTTGTTTGCAATTAATGAAGTCTATGCGGGATTTTAAAAACCCCATTATCATTAAATACCTTTAAACTGATTAGGAATTCTCACTATTTTTAATGTTAACTCAAAGTAAAATACAATCCACATGCAGACTATATGAAAAATAATAACAATGTGAATACAAACAGAATTAATCTGATTCTGAACAACATAACTAATTAACCACAATTTTTCTTTTATTGACAGATCAGTCCTTAGCTTGTGCAACTCTCTTTGTTGAGAACCATTTAACATCAATGTTGAATTAACACTTTACATAGTCCACTATGGCAGAGTCAGTATTTGTGCCCCATTGGTTTGTCTTCTTAATACAACTCTTAGATATTCAAATTTTCATCAGGAAAAATAGGTAAGCCACACTTAACATTTTTCTTATTTCTAAGTTTAAAAACTAGCAATTATGCATACGTATTTTTGATTTGGGAGAGGAAAAAAAAAGCACATACATATAACTTTAATTCCTTTTCACAGATGACCTGTAAAGAATAGGGATTAATTTGTACCTAAATACATATACAACAAACAATTTTCTGTTTTCCTTCCCAAGGTTGTCTTGCCCTTGGAAAAAAAAAAAAAAAAAGAAAAGAAAAGGAGGCAGCAGGTGTCCAATATTTACTAGCTTAGCTTTATAGCAGGTACTGGTTTGCTCCATTGTAGTAGGTATGGAGCCAGAGGAAGGGAAGATACAATCCTGGGTAAAAAAAGACTTAAGTTTTCTAAAATTTAGATTACACAAATAGTTTGGGTTTAATAAGGCTGTTATGATAACAAGGCTGACATTTTCAACAATTCCTCTCTGCCAGCAACTGCCAGGAACTTCTCCCAAGCAGAAAATAAGTTTAAGCCTCAGTGTACCCAGCGAACAGTAAATAACCCCAGCAAACATTTTTAGGACTGGTGAGTAATTTGTAGTGCCAGACTAACCCCTTTTTACCCAAAGGTTTATTCAAAGGGCCTGAAGAGACCCGAGTAACTGCCACCCTTTTAGTCTGGCCTCAGACTCTGCAATAAATAACAAGCAACATGATGAGCAGTGAAAAAAAATAAATTATAAATGTATATATAATTGAACGTTTCCATCTCTGAAGAATGAGAAAGAAAATTTACCATGTAACCGTAAAGGGAGAAATCAAAAGCAGACGGTTCTCCTGGGTGTGGCCAGAACACAGAAATTAAACAAAAAACAACAAAAAAAATAAAATAAAGTAAAATAAAAAAAGAAAATAAAACCAAAGGAAACTAAACAGAGCCCCTCGAAATCCATGCATTGTTAACCCTTCGTTTGTCAGAGAGTTTAGACCAGTCACCTCAGCAGCAGCGTCTTTGCCTTGTACCATTGGAGCATGCTTGTTTTTAACCAAGTTTGTTTGGGCTTTTTTTTCCCCCCCTTTTTTTTTTTTTCTCCTTCATGTTTCCACAATAAACAAACTTTTAGGAGCCTGAAAAGATGGCCAAGGAGACAGCAGTTTAGGCTACCTGTTTCCAAGGCATTTAGAAAGAGTAGGAGGGTTTCAGCTATAATCCACCTGAGATGAGCAGGACTGAATGCACTGACAGAAACACAGCCCAAAATTGAGAAACACATTATTGGATTTACACACACAAACGTACACTCTTCCAGCTCCTCCCTGTGCCCGTGCTGCACTCGTGCATGCATTAAGGCACATACACATAAAGCACCTCTCCCTGTACCTCTGCAATCTGGTGAACTAGATGCAGGAACCAATCTGGCTAAAACCCCATACATTTATCTTTAAACCAAAAAAAACCCCAAAAAAACCCAACAACAGAACACCACAAGCCTGCAGGGCTATTTTTAAGCTGTATGATTTCCCCAGTCATTGTGTTGCTTTACTCCCAATCCCTCCTCCTGCAAAACTGGGGGTGCCCGGCCTGCAGCTCAGGGCTTCCTCCAGCCACCTCAGGGCAGGGACTTCAAGGCCCCAGCACTGTCCCCAGTTGTGTGCTCCTCCTCCTCCCCTTGATCGACCGTGGATCTTATTGTGTGTGGTCTGTGAGTTCAACTAGCTAAACTGGCAGAAGACAAGCTCATTTCTCTCTCTCTCTCCCCCTGCTGCATCGGTGTTTTGCTAATTTAGCACCCTGGACTCAGCTCCCTACACAGGGAAAGGAGCACTGCTGGGAAGGCGCTCCCACGGGAGCAGTAAATCAACTTATACTATCAAGCCGTCAACTTCAGCCTTAATTATACAAGTTTAAATAAATTAATCCATACACTGAACTGGTTTAAGTCATTAGTTTACTATCGCAGGGTCGAAGGCATAAAACTGAACTAGGATAAAGGGACACAGGTCTCCTTCGTGCCACTGGCATTACAAAGGGATTTGGTGACCTGAGAAAGCGCCGCTAGTCGCTGGTACTTAATTTGTTATTAAGCCTCTTTGTGTTAATAATGCTATTTGAATTTCTGGCTCAACTGATGACATTTGAACAAAAATTATAAAAATAGAATTAAGATGAAAACAAGGCCTCTAATTTATTTTATGAAAAAAGGGGTTTTATCTATTTCACCAAGTGGAAACTAAGTCTTGGAAACAAGAGTGGTTGAACTCAAAGCACCTAATCCATTCAAAGAAAAAAAATGCACATGCAAACATACAGTCTTTTATGCACAGTTATCAAAACCTAAATTCTTATCTTAACCTACAGTTAACTGCAAACATAAAAACCCCCAAAGTGTTTCCACACAGCTTTCTGCACAAGTTTTTAGTTAGCACAGGTTTAGCTACCAACGTCCACTCAACAGCAGATAGAATTTCTTCATGAAGACGTAAGCAACCATACAGCCAATTTTTGAATTAAATATGAAGTGCTTTAGACATTTCAGTTCTATGCATAAACTTGGAGACCTGGGTGTCCCAAGCAGAAAGCAGCAAGAGACATAAACATACTATTCTGAAACCACGAGCTTGCAGTCTGCACTGATATGAACTTTTACCATTTAAAAATCTAAAAAAAAAGAAAAAAAAAGCTCCCTCTTCAGCCAAGATTTTGCTGCGTGCTTACGCACTTTTGGTCTCTGAATGTCACTGAGGGCACATCTTGGAATGCCACACGGTACGCAGCTGATGAGCAAAGAGCTTGGATTCCCTTCCCCTGCAGCTTTACAAATGCCGCAGGGTACTTGGGACGCAGGCAGACTGCATTAATTCTGCAAATATGTCCACTTGTTGGGTTCAGCACAGCAGTGCCAAAATATGCATCTAGAGGATGCATCTCCACTAACAAAGGGAGCAGGAATCCTCTCTCTCAACTTCCTCTGGAGGTGTTTTATCCACGGTTCAGTGAAGTGCATGGTAAACTGCAACCACGAGCAGAATGCTATTTAAAGGTACTTATACAGGTCAGAACTAGAAATGTAATGGTAAACAGGATAAATGAAACAAACAGCTAGTTTCCTGGAAGCAAGCAGAAAAACCAAACACATCAAGGAAAGACTGATGTCATTCTATTAAACAAGAATAAAACAAAATGAAATTCAAGAGATGTTTAAAGTTTGTATCTTGTTTCTCATATGTAGTAAAGCAGTATCAGTGTGAAGTCTACCAGTGTCCATACAATCCTACTAAACAGATTGAGTCTGGGCAGAAATTGAGTGAGGAAACAAGAATTCACATTGCTTTGAGAGGACAATCAGCAAAACTAATTATTTAACTGCCTCCTACTCTGCTGTGATACAGAAAGTCAGCAAATAACGTTTTCTAAGCCACATGCAAGAACCTGAGGTGTGAGGTGGCTGTGCCGGACACACGCTGCTCTCTCTTTTGTCACCAAACTTCCTGAATACACAGAGATCCTGAAGATGCAGCCAGTTTGCTATAGTTCCCCCAAGCTGTCGAAGAAAACTGCCTGGTCATCTCAGGTGGATTCAAAAGGAAGACTGCAACCCGCAGGCTTCCTCCAGTCCCTCCTACCACCAGCACTGGAGCCATCCCAGCAGAGATCTCCTGCCACAGCTCGGCAGGGACAAAGCGCTGCTCAACCCCATCGTACGCTGGGTGGGGGTGAACCCAGGGCAGTTTGGGATTCACCACCGTACCTTTTAAAAATTTACAAAACATTTACACAAAACTCTACAACCCTTAGGAACCCGGGGAAGGGAAGGGAGCATTGAGAACACAGCACAAGGCAGGCAGCAGGAGCATCTGCTTTCGGATTCCCAAGAGAGAGGAGGAGGAGAAGAAGAGAGAGAGGTTTCATATCATTAGATTAGAATGGAAACCACAGGGCAGGAAAATGCATTCAGATTTATTTTTTTTTCCTAAGGTGGAGGAAGAACCCAAGAGTGAGTGAGTGGCCTCCAGAAAGATCCATTTCCTTTGCTTCACCATCAGATCACCAAACTGTTGTTTTTCCATTATTATGTGAATACCAGGTGCGTCGTGCAGCTACACCCCACTCAAACACTGGGGCCTCCCATTTTCATGCTAAGCAGGAATAATCTTGCATTCTTTTTAAAACAGGAATTATTTTGGGTACAGAAGGATGCAAAGATACCACAAAATTACTCTTTGGGTGTTTTCTCATTCTGTTCAGATTCTGCCCCATCCCTTATGCAGGCTATCAGTTTTGCAACTGCTTTTTGCCGTAGGATGACAAAAAAGCAGTAGAAAACTGCATGGTCAATGTCTGGAAGAACATCTCTTTGTGTCGCTTTCTTTTTACATATATTTATTAAGGGTTCAGGGTAAAATTAATCAAGGAACTCTTCAGCAATAATTTTTGTTTTAACTGAAAACCAGAAGCCTTAGGCTTTAACAACTGCACAAGAAGGTACATCTCAGTCACAAATCAAATCTTCACAGAAAGCCTCCAACTTGAGTATTGCCCAGAAGGGAAAGGGCAGCTGTGGGCATTTAACACAGGGCTGTATGGATGGGAGAGAGCGGGTGAAGTTCATGTGTGGAGAGGAAAACACTCACTGTTATGGAAAGCACAGGCAGTGGGGGATGAAGGATAGAGCTCACCACTTTGCCAGGCCAGTTATTTTTGTTCTTTCTTTTGCAATTACATCCAAACAAGTAGGGATTTGATAGAGGCCAGAGGCTATTCCCAAAGCCAAATAGAAATTACTAAAATCAAGACTAATTCACAGATATCTCTGGTTTACAAATATCAGAAGAACAGCAGAGAGCAGAATAAATATTTACAAATGCAGCATTGCTGGTTGTTTTGGTAAAGCGTATAGATTTTTATCCACGTAGGGAAGTAAAACTCTCTAACTAAGCCATATAGACTTTTACTTGTTCAGACTGTCTCATTAAAACAAAACAAAAACATGGCATTAAGCACAAATGAAGGATGGAGAAAGGGCTAGCTCACTTCTTTTGTATACAGATCAACCGCTTTCTGGTTTCCAGCTAATACAGAGACTGAAGAATTTCAGAATGGATCTTGGGCAACATGGGTAGAAATCTGCAGGGGGCTCTGAACATGAACATATCCCAGAATATATGTTGAAGCAAAGAGGCCACCTTAAGACTGTGAACCTCAAATCCAAGTGAAAGGCATAGAGTCTAAACCAAAACTGCTTAGCTGAATTGCAACTTCAAAATCTCTTGTGTGCATGCACACATGTGCACACACGTGTGTGGGGGGAGGAGGGAAATATTGTTTTAATTGAAAATGGGAATCTTAGCATTGATTAAGTCAAGCAGAGTATAGACATGCACTGTGCAAGCTTCCCCCATAGAGCTTTGGCAATGCACCTCGCTCCTGACCTGCAAAATTCCCTGCTATTCCAGTGCTGAACCTCCTGGGCAGAGAGAGAATCACATCAATTTGTCATTGTGGTGATACTGGTTACGTGATGAGAACCAATTGCCAATTAGGACAAAGATTACTGAATCTCTCTGCAGCTGACCTGAGCAAAATTTGAAATCTCATCTCCAGAGAAATAAATTACCATTAACTCTCAATAAAACTTCCCTCTTAATAAATCTGTAAGATGAAAATAGGTGTGTGAATGCAAATTCAGTGGGGAGAGGTCTACACGGGGCAGGGCAAATGGAACGAGGATGCTTATATTAAGCATCAAATATCTCAAACATGAAAGGTCAGTATCTCAGAAGTGCCAAGTCAGCAAAACAGAGTAAATAAAATCCTTTCACATATGAGATATGACAGTTTTTCTATAAAAGTATTTTAATGCAACAGAAATGTGTTTGGGGGGGTGGGTGGAGTCTTAGTTGCCCATCACGCAAAGCTGTTTTACCTTATTTTGCCTTCTCCAAAGGACACTCATTGCTAGAGCAATGGGAACAGGTTGGTATGAAGGCTCAAGTTTGTTCAAAAAGCTGGGGAACCTGATCCCACATTACAGACAGGAGCATCTAGGAGCATTTGTACATGCTGCCCAGAAATGACCATGCTCAGAGTCTGGAGTCAGAGGGAACAGGAGACAGTCCCCAAAATAGCTTTTCCCTTCCCCCATCACACTAATTCCTGCTGATCTCTACAGAGTATATTCTCTAGGCAATGAACTGCCTTTTACTCTGCAATCAAAACAAGAGAAGCGGGTACAGAAACAGGACTTACCTTCGAGCCACGCTCATTAAAGATTATCTCTACATCAAGGATTTTGCCGAATTGCTGCAGAGAGACAAGGGGAAAGAAAAAAAAAAAAGGTTTATTTTTGGCAATCCGTTTTTCCTACCTTTTGGGCCTGGCTTAGTGCAAGAAGAGAGGTGATAATATTTTCATTTCTAGCATACAGGCAAAGGCATAAAATCCCAGTGACGTGACCCAGTTCTCTCAGGTTAGGACATGCAGATCCTTTTGGTCACAGACCCCAGGTTTTCTCACAAAAGTCTAAAGGAAGAAAAACAATCTCCAGAAGAGTTTTAGGGATTTGAAGCGGCTTTTCTTTCCCCCCTTTTAATCTAAACGATTCTTTCTTTCCTCATTCTACTATTTCATCTAAGACATGGTATATGATTTCATCTCAGACAGCTAACAACATTTCTCAAATGTAATTCAGCATTCCATCTTCCTCCTGAAGTGCCTACCATAAAGAAAAACTTAACAGTAATATTGTTTCTCTGGAGGGAATAGTCACATAAGACTGCCAACCTCAGGGATTCCAAACTGTAAATCTCCTTTGCTCCCCCCTCCCTTTATTGTACAAAACTCCAAGCCTTCAAAAGAATTGATGGCAGATTTAGAATCCATGAAAACAGCTAATTCCCAACAGGATTTTTATCAGAAAATGATCATTCAACTTCAACCTTTGACGTACAGCAGGTTCTTGATAACCTGTGCAAGTTTATCACCTGTGACGGAATTCTGACCTCTGCCTCAGCCTGGAGAACCCCAAGGTGAGCAGGGCCCCACTACTACGCACTGTTTCAACAACTGGTTCCACAGAGGTCCCGACTTAGCACAGAGCAAAAATGGGAAACGAGAGCTACTAGCTAGAAAGGAGATTTGCCACGCTTGCGGAATCATGTATGAATCACATCCTTCACCTTGGAACACACTGAAATATTTTTATTGAACTGGCCAGATTAAAACCAGTAACCTACAGATAAAAGCATCACTTCAACAGAACCCTGCAATGCTCTGTCCTCTAGAAGATAGCAGTTGTATTTCCAAACTGGAGGTCTGCTCTCCAGAAAGACAGGTCTAAGATCTCATTTTCAGAAGCACCTTTATGGAGCAACCTTCAGTCTAGAGATGCACACTGTGCTCAGACAAATGCTGTATCCAAGTGTTTTTCCTATGCCGTAATTTGTGAAAGCTTCCATCAACATGGTTTTGATCTCACGGCTTGCAGAAGATTTAAAGGTGGTAGCAAATGAAGGAAGGGTCAACAGGAAAAGAGAGGATGATTTCAGAGTTAGGAAAGATGATGAAACACAGCTTCTGGGTACTGGGGCACTCTCCACTTTGCTATGGTGCTCTTAATATAGTATTTGCCATTTTTTTTAATTAACAATTCCATTCAGAGTCAAAAGGGTATAATCCTCATATTGTGGGTGCCCTGCTTGAAAGACTTATGCCCAGGGAACATTTACAGCAGTGAGCCATGATGACTGGAAGAGAAGCTCTGAATATGTAAAGCAATAAAAAGTTATGAAGTCCCTTGAACAAGAATTCCACAACTGCCTTTAAGCAAACAAAACAATTCCAACAATTTAGCTATAGATTCTATCTGCTTCCATTCTTAAAAAGGAGATAGTCATATTCTTTTACAAATGTTGGTTCACAGATGTTGTTTTTACTGTTCTATTGTTTAAGGACAATACTTGATCTTCTATTCATCCCAAGAACAATTGAATTCACAATATCCCACGTTACACAAAGTTTGAATAATGCTAATGTAAACATGCATCTTCCTTGAAACCCCAACATCTCAACAGCTTAGGCTAGATCCACGCTGGATCCTCTTTTGACCACTGCTGTGCCAATCACAGCTAAAATACATTTTCTATTTCTATCCTACGCTTGGTGTGGGCTTGTCTATAAAGGAGATTAGCCGTTGATTGCTTTTTGTTGTCTTTGTTGCATATGGCTTGGACATTGCCATGAAAGAAATCAGTCATGATTGCTTTCCTGGTAGACTATTTCAGTGTTGTTACACGACAGGGGCTGAACCAATTTAACAGCTCTCGGCTGCTGAAGGGCTGTCTCTGCGCCATTGTCACTCATTGTCTGGTCTCACCAGCTTCCTAAAGCTGGCCCCAGTTTTCATTCTCACCTGTAGGTAAACTGATACAGATCACCAATCCCATGAAAACTCGCCCAACAAAAGGAATACATACAAAGTTTTTGACAATTTACTGATCTGAAGTGGCTCAAAGGGTCTGGTGAGCTCTGAGAAGCAAAAAGGAGTGGAAAGCAGCACAAGGATTTGTCCCTGTCAGCTGCCTAGCCTTGCCACACACACTGAAACAGCCGGGCTCTCAATAAATGCAAATGCCAAAATTATTTTCACAATCTTCAAATCAATCAAAAATCACCATTTTCCACCCCATTAGAATCATAGAATGGTTTGGGTTGAAAGGGACCTTAAGGATCATCTAGTTCTGTCCTCCCTGCCACAGGCAGGGACACCTCCCACCAGACCAGGTTGCTCAAAGCCCCATTCAGTCTGGCCTTGAACACTTCCAGGGATGGGGCATCCACAGCTTCTCTGGGCAACCTGTTCCAGTGCCTCACCACCCTCACAGTGAAAAACTCCTTCCTGATATCTAATCTAAGCCTACGCTCTTCCAGTTTGAAGCCATTACCCTTTGTCCTATCACTGCATGCCCTTGCAAAAAGTCCCTCTCCAGCTTTCTTGTAGCTCCACTTCAGACACTGGAAGGTCACTATAAAGTCTCTCCAGAGCCTTCTCTTCTCCAGGCTGAATAGATCCCAACTCTCCCAGCCTGGGGTAGTTCTCTGCTCATCCCTCTGATCATTGTTGCCCTCCTCTGGACCTGCTCTAATAGGTCCACATCCTTCTCATGCTGAGGACTCCAAAGCTGGACATAGCACTGCAGGTAGGGTCTCACTGAAAGCGAACATGCTGTGTAGCTTCTACTGCACAATTATGCCGTGCCACCTTTCCCTTTCTCCACACCCTGGGGCTGTATCCTTGGGTGTTACTGCCATCCCTGTTCGGCTAAGCTCACCGTGCAGGGTTTCCACACCAACAGGAAATCCTGTCTTGTGTGTTTAATTTCTTGTGGCTAACAAAACGCTGGCAGTTAATGCTGAATGAAAATAGACTGACCTAGCTCCATGAGAGGCGGCAGGGCTGCCTCCCCGCCTTGGCGATGATGGAGGTATGTCCTTTCCTAGATGACAGAATTAAGATCACTAAATCCTGCGGCTGCAGCAAGCACATGCTTGACATTTACTGCAACGGGCTACAATCCACCCATGCAAACTGCCCGACCTCTTTTCTGCCTAGGAGTCGTGGGTGTTTGAAGAGGCAGGAGGAAAGGACCTGCTTGGGAGAAAAGGAAGAGAGACAACAGGGGATAACGGCTGAACTGATTTTCAGGTCCCTGCTGGGGAGGGGTTTCCTGCTCCATTAAATTCCCTAGAAGAAAGCAGCGTGGCCGGGAGGCTCTTCCAAGACTCTGCTGCGGCCGTTGCCCCAGCTGCTCTGACAGCTCCTAACACCACGGCTCTTGTCCTCACTGCTGCAGCGGTTACAGCAGGTCCAGCACCGGGGGCACTTTTTTTTTTGGTACCGCGCCAGAATTTTCCTGAAGAATGAAAGCAGGAAAAAAGGACTAGTTCACTTTAACAGTTTATATCTCCTTCAAAGCTGAATCTAATTTAGTGAAACACAAAAAGGCACTTTGTTCTCTGATGGTGCTTCCCCTACCAAATGTCAACAGCCTACTGCAAACAATGGAAGTTTTAAGAGCTCCTTAGCAAAAGGTCACAATTTTTGTATGGAAAATGCTAGGCCATCTAAATACAAGGGTCAACACCAAACGCCCCTATAGTAATTTTTTAAAATCACGTATACAGGCATGTTTGTGTTTTTCAGCAGACAGAGGGTCTGGCCAAATAAAACAAGATCCATGCTTAGATCATCCATGAAGACTAACCCTCTAATCTCTAACCTTGAAGACATGAATCACTGTTTTCACAGACCTGATTCATTCACTCAGTGATTACCAAGAACTTCTACTTACAAGCCTGCACAGCAGCAGCGGAAAAAAAAATCCTCAGCCTCTGAAGAAGGCATTGCCAGACTACACATCTCAAATGCTCCCCACCATGACTTAAAAAACTTACTATATGACCAAGAAGCCAGCATTCCCCATCACATGTTCATGTTGTGCAAGAAGCCTCCTACATCATCTGCTCACACGCATGCCATATAATGGATAGATACAGATACATACACACCTCCAGTTGTATAGTGGCACAGGAGCTATAGCACCTTGTTCTATCCTAGTTCTCCATCCCCTGGTGAGACCCTGTACAAGCTTTTAGCTATTTTTCTGTAAAGCAGGTAAATGAGAATCATCTCCTCTACAATGGTAGCAGGGATTCTTGCAAATAACGGTTTTAAGCAGCATAAAGATATTAACAAACATCAGCAACAACTAGAACCCAATTTTCTTGCTTGAACATGATGTACCTTGACATAGATGCAAGGGCATTGTGCAGGGAAGGGTATGTGCATGCTGTGTGTTTGTTTCCACCCAGATGACACAAAGGCAGCAGATTTTTCCAGCAGAGGCCATAACTACATTATATATAATAAATTTGAGAGATCTGGCACCAGAGAGCTTTTGCCTTCCAAGGCACTGACAGTTTGGTAGGGCGCCTCCTGTATGCTCTGTTCCAGCTGGCCCTGTCTCCTCTCCCTGTCTAGAGCTTTCAAAACCAGCTCCAAAAAGCACCAGACAAATAACTTAACCCTAAAGATACAAACAACACAGCGAATGTCTCTAGAAATCATGGAACAACGAAAGGTAATGTGAGCCACCATTAAACAGCTTCACATCTCTAAAAAGAACTCTATGCCCGAACAGCTTTACACAGGTCCCAGAAAATTCATTTAGAGATAAGTGTAGTGAACTAGCTAAACCTTGAAGGTGCCAAACAGTCCATTCTCAAAGATGGTCCAAATAGCCAGG